GAGTATTCAATCACGACTATTGGAAACAAGTATTTTTCACGTTTCAATAAACTATCGTTTACCATAAATAGCCCTCATTAAGCCTGTGATGAAAAGTATTGAAAATGATATGAATAAACAATCCCAGAAATGGTAAATGATACAATGTTAAATCGTAGGAAACGTAGAGGCTAAGGAAGAGAGAAAGTGTCATTTTTTGAAAATTATTAGCTTTATTTTGGTGGTTTTCAAATCCACCCCATGCGTTGTTCCTCCAACATAACTAATTCTCGAATTCCATTTCAATTTTCTAGGCTTGATTCCTGAATTATTGAAAAGAATGCAAATTGAAGAACGAGAATTACCTATTGAGAGAAAGATTGAGTGAAAATTGCCCTGCCGTTCTCAAAACCTGTCCTATGAGTAATTCTTTTCTCATTTATATCCAAAAATCTGGTAAAACTCTGTAGTTGCAATTATTTGTTCATTTCAATAATAAATTCAATGAAATTTTTTTAATTACATAAAATAAATAACTCATTTATTCCGAATAGATCCTCTAGTGGAGTCAAAAGCACATTTTTTTGTATTTGAAAAACTAATTATTTACTATGAATAACAACTTTATCACGAGTTAGTTGAATAAAAACATTTATTTACTTCAAATAAACAATTTCTCTGGATTTAAGGATATCCGAGCACTTTGAATATTTTTTCTCCAGTGAAATGCTTTTCTATTTTTGTAGTCGAACATCAGAGCTTTCATTCGAGCCGCATTTGAACCTAAATTTCCGGAATTTTACAATGATTTTATTATTTAAACTTGGCAGGTCTGAATCTGGATATGGAACCGTTGGAAAACATTTTTTTTTTAATTTGCATTTTTTTTAAATTACGAGCCTTTTCTGTAAATAATTTATAAACAATCAATTTTTCACCATAAAAATCATTTGCTCAGAATCGTAGCAAATTTATGCATAGTCAGAATTTCACCAGAACTTGATTCCATGCGAAAAAAAATAAGGTTCCCGAAAGTTTAAACAATTTCAATTATTTATTTATAAACAACGAATGTTTAAAAAAAATGATGATTGTTGTAAAACAATAATAAACTGTGCAAAATGTAATTTGATAATTAAAAATGTTTGAATCGTAAACCAAATATGATGTGATATTGTAAAATTTTTGGATGAAAATGAGGACAAAAAGAATAATATTGCACGTTTAGACAACGTTAGTGCGATTTTCCTAAAAATTCTCCGTTCATGCGAGTCATAATCACAAAATTGCTGAATATCTGTACACACTGATCCAGCCAATTCTAGTCTTGTTATTTTTCTACCTTTTCACAGCTTTGGCAAGAGAAATGAAGTGGAAAAAAAAGAATTGATAAGGAAAAATATTCAAACTGCATTGCCATCAGTAGTTTTGGCAGCCTTCGCTGATTGCAGTTGAATGTTCTGATGGTGAGAAAACAAAATTACATTCCCGTATTTCATTGGAAACTATTGATCAATGTCCTGAGGCGAATTCCACTGCAATTAGAGGATAGCTCAATATTCGACTCGCCTACGTGTATACATATGTAAATATACGAATGAAAAAAAAATTATATATATGAGAAAGACTCATCGAGCCTTATAAAAGAATAATTAATCTTAGGGCAGCAATCAATATTACAAGCGTATGAGAAATAACAAATTTTACAATATATCATTGTTACTTAATTAGTTTTTATTCTCGTTATTTAACTATTAATTGATGCCTCATTATGAGCAAATATAATACATTATGTATAATTCTGTGAAAAGAATCTGCACCTTCCTGAATGCCCAAATGAATTTATTTGAATAAAAACTGGATTTAAAATCATGAAGATAAAATTGATTTTTTTCTTCCTATGGCCCATTACTGAGACTGATGTATGCAATTAAGGGGATGGTCACTCTGAGAATAAACTTTTCCGTTTTTGACGGGAAAAAATACTGAACACAGTATTTTCCGTGGGATTTTCATTTAGGAATTCGATTTTGTAGGTGATTTTGTCCCCGTCCGTCAAAAATTAGACACTTTTCAAAAGCCCGAGTTGAAGACCCGAGTTTGTAGCAGAGATGTCAGACAAGATATGAATGTTTTTTTGGGCTCAAATGAAAGAGCGGCTCGAGAAATGGCGTGCTAGGGCCTTTAAACATGACAAATGTCTCTGAAGATGATGTCTGTTTTCAATTGAAAAGCAGAGTTGTGACATTGTCTAGGAGGACAATGGGGTCTAGGAGTATGTATAGAACATTGGCGTCTAGGAGTCTCCCCTGGTTCCAAACCATCTTTAGAGGTCCTAGCACACTATTTTTTGACCCGCTCTTTCGTTTGAGCCCGAAAAAACATTCATATCTTATCTGACATCGCTGCTACAAACTCGGGCCTACAACTCGGGCCTTCAATAAAAGGCCCGAGTTGTAGGCCCGAGTTTGTAGCAGCGATGTCAGATAAGATATGAATGTTTTTTCGGGCTCAAACGAAAGAGCGGCTCGAGAAATGGCGTGCTAGGGCCTTTAAACATGACAAATGTCTCTGAAGATGATGTCTGTTTTCAATTGAAAAGCAGAGTTGTGACATTGTCTAGGAGGACAATGGGGTCTAGGAGTATGTATAGAACATTGGCGTCTAGGAGTCTCCCCTGGTTCCAAACCATCTTTAGAGGTCCTAGCACACTATTTTTTGACCCGCTCTTTCGTTTGAGCCCGAAAAAACATTCATATCTTATCTGACATCGCTGCTACAAACTCGGGCCTACAACTCGGGCCTTCAATAAAAGGCCCGAGTTGTAGGCCCGAGTTTGTAGCAGCGATGTCAGATAAGATATGAATGTTTTTTCGGGCTCAAACGAAAGAGCGGCTCGAGAAATGGCGTGCTAGGGCCTTTAAACATGACAAATGTCTCTGAAGATGATGTCTGTTTTCAATTGAAAAGCAGAGTTGTGACATTGTCTAGGAGGACAATGGGGTCTAGGAGTATGTATAGAACATTGGCGTCTAGGAGTCTCCCCTGGTTCCAAACCATCTTTAGAGGTCCTAGCACACTATTTTTTGACCCGCTCTTTCGTTTGAGCCCGAAAAAACATTCATATCTTATCTGACATCGCTGCTACAAACTCGGGCCTACAACTCGGGCCTTCAATAAAAGGCCCGAGTTGTAGGCCCGAGTTTGTAGCAGCGATGTCAGATAAGATATGAATGTTTTTTCGGGCTCAAACGAAAGAGCGGCTCGAGAAATGGCGTGCTAGGGCCTTTAAACATGACAAATGTCTCTGAAGATGATGTCTGTTTTCAATTGAAAAGCAGAGTTGTGACATTGTCTAGGAGGACAATGGGGTCTAGGAGTATGTATAGAACATTGGCGTCTAGGAGTCTCCCCTGGTTCCAAACCATCTTTAGAGGTCCTAGCACACTATTTTTTGACCCGCTCTTTCGTTTGAGCCCGAAAAAACATTCATATCTTATCTGACATCGCTGCTACAAACTCGGGCCTACAACTCGGGCCTTCAATAAAAGGCCCGAGTTGTAGGCCCGAGTTTGTAGCAGCGATGTCAGATAAGATATGAATGTTTTTTCGGGCTCAAACGAAAGAGCGGCTCGAGAAATGGCGTGCTAGGGCCTTTAAACATGACAAATGTCTCTGAAGATGATGTCTGTTTTCAATTGAAAAGCAGAGTTGTGACATTGTCTAGGAGGACAATGGGGTCTAGGAGTATGTATAGAACATTGGCGTCTAGGAGTCTCCCCTGGTTCCAAACCATCTTTAGAGGTCCTAGCACACCATTTTTCGACCCGCTCTTTCGTTTGAGCCCAAAAAAACATTCATGTTTTGTCTGACATCTCTGCTACAAACTCGGGTCTTTAACTCGGGCTTTCAATTGAAGACCCGAGTTTGTAGCAAAGATGTCAGACAAGATATGAATGTTCTTTTGGGCTCAAACGAAAGAGCGGGTCGAAAAATGGTGTGCTAGGACCTCTAAAGATGGTTTGGAACCAGGGGAGACTCCTAGACGCCAATG